CACAGTTTTTCACCATACGGACCTCCCAGCCGGCAAATAACATATATTTATCGAATGGATATATGTAAGGTTTGTTACGCTTACATATGAGTAGAAAACAGAAAATTTAAGTCGCATCTGCCCAGATCCTTGACTCATTAAAATACAATGCGGCGTCGCAAAAAGCAACTAAACAAAATTCGCAAAGCTGAACCGAAGTTTGTTTGTTTCATGCCAAGAAAAGCATTGAAAAAACATCGGAAATGTATGATCATAACTAGGCAGCTTGTACATTCGTTGAAAATGTCGCTCCACGGAAAATTTAACAACTCTTACCTGAAAAAATTTTCGCTAATAATAGAATGATCGATACTAAGCCCAAAGACATCTAGGTGACGCGTGCCACATTTTATGTGCGCGTTCCGATTCGACTTTTCTGGCGATGAGTTACGAAATGAGCGATGTTCCTTTCATTGTGCTTCATTGATTTCTGGGGATTTCATTATCGGAGATCTCGCCTTTAACCACAAAGTACACATTTAGTATAATTACGCGTGGGTGTGTGTTCTTTCGTCGCAAAGAACATTTACCTGCAACGTACAAATTCTGATGTTAAGTCCTGCTGATGCAATCCGGATTGTGGTTTACAGAGATAAGTTACGGAAACGCCCAGAAAAAGGCACAGCAGCATCCTAATTAAGGGAAGAGAAGGGATAAAACGTACAATTGAGCCGAGAGGTTACATGAAAAGTAAGTAGAAAATTATTTTTTCAACTCAAGCTAAACGTGTTACTCTTAATGGTTTTCTTTTATATTCTATTGCCCGAATCATGCGCATCTAGCTTGTCCAAAGACTTGTTGAGCAATGTACATACCAGCGGTAATTTCCTATTCCGTCTGCAACCTTGTGTGCTTATATTTACTTAAACCCTGTTAAGACAAAAACGAAACTAAAAAGATTGAGATATTTTAGGATTGCTAAAGTTCGTGCATATTTAAAGTTTAATTAATAACATGGGTTCAAATCCCTTACAGGCCTGAATTTTTTCAGGCCGTATTTTCTCGACTGCTTAAGTAGTGTTCAGTAATTCGAAGATCGCTTCCAAGTTCATTTCTAAGACCGCAGTACGCATATATGATTTCATATATTTACAGTCATTTAACAGACGGAGTTTTACTGTAGGATCAGACAGTTTATGAAATGTATATACCCTACGCACATAAAATACTAGACTGTTATATCAAAAGTATTCGATGGATACACTGAAACAACGTTCTCGGAATCAGGAACAAATTACAAACACTAATGAAATATAGAGACGATCAAAACTGTTTATGGTGTGGGTGAGAGGGAAACAAAACTTTCTCAGAAGCTGGAAAATAACTTTTTGCTTGCTTCCTTGCTTCGCGATTCGTGCGATATCGGTTTTTTAAGTGAAATTTAACGTGGAATTCACCCGTCAAGCATAAAGTTTTTCTTGCATCACGTAACTGAATAAAAAGAAGAAGAAAACAGTATTAATATTGTTTGTTTTTATCCTGAGCGCGTGCCCCAGAAAGCCATTTCAAAGTCAACTGTCAGAACTGTTATTGCGTTAGCGAATAGGAAGCAAAGTAAGTCGTACACGTTTGAATCTTCGACAAATTTATTTTTACCTTGTGATTGTTTTCACATTTTTTTTTCCAATTTTTTTTAACAAGCTTCACACTATCTTGAAGATAATAGTGGTATTTCACTGAATTTATAAGCCGTTTATCTTTAACATCTTTTTTCAAATTTCCAAATCATTTGCTCGAGAAGGAAAATAATTTACTTCTTTTACCTCTTTGGCGGCAAATTGAAAGAAATGAAGTGTCCAAGCGAAAGTGCTGAAAGTTGAACATCGCGACTAAAGGTATTTATTTCTTCCTCTGTGTATAGGACAATCGACCCAGGCACTTCTTTCGTTGTCGCTTCTTCGTCTTGTTTAGTTGAACTTTTGCTTGCCATTTTCTGGACCCGGCGTGTTCACAGGATTTTCTCGCTTTCTCGATGTCGCAGGCGAAAGAGGTTTTTATGCTTCTCCAATGATTTTTAGTTCATATCAAAACAGGGAGGAACCTCTGGCTCACTTTGAAAAACGCTTTTGTTTGTCATTTACTAAAATGTAAATTGCCTGTACCCAGTTTAGACCTCTCAGTTATCGGTGTCTTTATTCATTTTAATAGAGGTTACTGCACTGTGGGAGTAAGGTGAGGTTTTTTTTTTTTTTTTTTGAGAGAATTTGACTGCGTTTTTACTTACTACGAGCGATCGTAAATATTCCTATACAAACTCTTATAATTTCGCAAGATGATCATCTCACAGCTGGAGCTTGGGCTGCCTGTGGTCTTATCCTGAGAATTATACAACTGAATGTAATTGATCCATCTCCTGGGAAATGGTTCGTCACTATACCTCGGCCACACTATACACGTCATGGTAAGGGCTAGTGTGCAGTTTGGTGGGCTGGACGAGTTATCAGTTTCAGGTATAACTGGAGGAAAGGAAAAGGAAATCAGATGCACGAAACAATTTCTTTTTCAAAAACAAGGCTAAATGCGCACTTTCGATCGGTCGCAACGACGTTGAGAAAAAAAAAAAAGGAAAACTCGTCATTCAAACAATACCGGATTTATTCATAAACTGTTGCCTTATGTATCGCCATTATCGATCACTTGCTGTTACTTAACTAGTCAGGCGAGGAGTCATAACCAATAGAAATAGCGATGATAAGGATCAACCAATCACAGCAATTCAGAGCTAAATGGTCAAAACTGATCCTCGTTCTTATAATGTGATGAGGATTGTGATATGCAATGGCAGCTTTACAATCTATTTCATAGATGACTGCATCATTTCGCAAAGACAAATGATTCCACTTTAATATCATCGTACTTCAGTGCGATGAACAACACTGTACAACCTTTTCCGATAGATAGTTACAGTTTGGGCGGGGAACTTGCATGAAGCACTTAAACGTCGTAACTACTTTTAGTCGCAAACTGAATGGAGTTCAACGTATCAATTCCACGCCGTTGACACGAAAAAGACGTCACGTCGATGTGCGACAAAAACAGAAAGAAAAAAAACACAAAAAAGGAACTCACTCTTACAACTGGGATTTCTGAAACATCAGTGAGCTTTACGTGGTATCCTCAACAAAGGCTTTAACGCAAGACAGCTTCTTGATTAATCTGCTTGCGTAGTGAGAGACCACTGTAAAGCAGGTGCAAAATACAAAGGAACGAAACAACTACAGATAAAAAATTTCCGTTTATGAGTAATTTTTGGACTGACAAACATCGTTCCCGGAAGTCCAAAAGTGCCCTAGCTACGCTAAGGAATAAATTGGGGCATTTTTAAGGTAAAACGTAATGTTTTCGAATCTGATGTCGGTAGCGCTTATTAGTAAGACTCCTAAAGTTTCCATTCGAGGAATGTTGTTTTTAATAATTATCTTTGATAATAAGGAAACCTTTTACGTTATTTTAGAACATGATTATACTTGACCGTTTCCCACGGATATAGACAGGAAAACCTCTTTAGTTATTTTCTTTTTAAACATAAGTTATTTATTGCTGCTTAATTATTTTCACCTTTTCCGTCTTTCTCGAGACGCTAAGGAATAAATTGAAGCATTTTTGTGGTAAAACGTAATGTTTTCGAATCTGATTTCGGTACTACTTACAAATAAGATTTCTGAAGAAGTTTTTGTGTGAAAATTTTATTCTATGAAAAGAAATCGACGCTGTTTGGTAAACGTGCGAATGAACAAAGTTGATGAAATAGTCATAGGAATTGTTTTCGCTCGTCCTCAAATGTAGAAAAAAGAAAAGGAAACGTTTTAGTATGTTGGAAAGAAGTTTAAATATCCGGCAGCAATTGTTCATGAAGGAAACTGGGTGGCTTTTTGTCCTCCTCCAGGCCATCCGGATGACGTTTCTGAGTTTCGGTCACTGAAAAAGATCCTTGAAATCGTAATTTAGGTGCTATAAATTGTCCAGGGCGTTATACGAAAATAGTTCGCTTACACTAAACTAAAAAAATTTCCCGTCCAGGAGGACGAAAGCTTTGTATAAAAGCACTCGGCTGCTGCAATTTTTACATCATATCTTCGCGGTGTACATGTCGATTCTCTCAGAATATCAAGTGTAAACTGAATCTTATTTTCGCACAATGTTTTACATTTCACCGAGTTCTCTTTGCAGTGTGCTGCTTATAGCGTGGATTTCTTCAAGTCAGACATTGGCTCAAAGTTTCAAAGGTAAGTGCCTTACAGCACTTGAAGTTGACAGGATGGTTTAAATTTTTGTGTTTAGCGTGTAAGACTCTCTGCAATGTTTTATATCACAAACCACTATATTAAGTTTGTTTTTACGTTTGAAATTCATTTTTCCTTTTTTTTCAGTTATTCAGCCACAAATGTTCTAGAATTGTTTTCTTTTTCGTCTCACCAACACCGTTTGCTCAACAGCTAATTGCGCTGAACTGTACGTGGCTGGCCAAAATACCAGCGGTATCTACAAAATTGACCCTGATGGTTTAGGTGCCTTTGATGTGTATTGTAACCAGACAGCGGCTGCTGGAGGATGGACAGTGATCCAGAGAAGACTGGACGGCTCTGTCAATTTTCATCGTAGCTGGTGTGACTACAAGCAAGGTTTCGGTGATTTGAGTGGCGAGTTTTGGCTAGGACTGGACAAAATAAACCGTCCTACTAGGGACACAACGAACCGGCTTCGAGTAGATCTGGAATATAATCTCAATAGCATTATTCATCGTCCTCACGCCGAGTACGACTTGTTTCGCGTTGAATCGGAATTGGAAAATTATGCTTTGATTATTGGAGGGATGCCCGAATGTAAGTTATTCGTTAGTTCATAATTACTATGATTAATAGAAAACGAAATATCTAAAACAATTCATTAGCTTGATGTTTTGCATTGAAAAATATCCTCGACGAATTTTTATCGGAGTGCTACGCCACAGAAATGAGGAAATATTTCAAAGTAGTCTTGCACTTAGGGTTACTGTCAACATAATCTGATCGAAATTTTCAACTCCTTTTTTTTGTTTCTGTTTTTGTTTTGTTTGTTTCTTCGTTTTTTTCAGGTTTTCTCTATCGTTATAGAAAGTATCTAAATTTGATATATTGAACAGTTATTTACAAAATCTTTCGTACGAATTTCAATGACCTTCTTTGTTTTATGATTCCCCATGAGTGTTAGGTTGCTTTTCAACAAATGGCGGGATGACCGCGTTGACATGCGGTTTAATAAATTATAATACAATTGTATTATCGGAATCTGAAAACTCGAGATTTTTTTAAACCGAGTAATCTCTACCTAAACGAATAAACAGGGTTTGTAGTTTTGTCGGATTTTTATTAAAGTTGATCGAATGTTTGTCAGATATTGACGCGGGTGTGAGGCTTTACAAAATTAAAAATATTTTTCCTATGGCATCCCAGTGTGTGACGACAACCAAAATATTATGTTTTGTCCATTTAAAAAAAGATATTCTCGGGAACCGATATGGAAATCAAAAAAGCCTCATACCCTTTTTGACCTATTTTGTTTTGATATCCACGGTGAAGCTGGTAATTCATTCAAGAAAACAACTTCAATTTTGTTTTAAAAGGCTCGCTTACTTCAGGAGACTTAGAAAATATTTTGTTTGCATTTGTCTTTGCGAGACAAATTCATAACGTTTTTATTTGAATTTCCGCTATGACAAGGCGTAAAAACGAAGGAAGAGGTTCAGGGCCGCTGAATGAATAACCACTAATATTGAAATCAACACCAAAAAGAACAACTTGTAATCTTACGAAATTAACCTCTGGCGACTACAGATCCACTCTGCATATGGCGGAAACTACTGATAATTTTACTGGCTGTCCGCGTCATACGTTTTAAGGTAGCCCTGTATGACTGCATTAAGAAAGACAGTTCCAGAATAATTACCCTTTGGTCCTATTAATATTGTTGTTTTTCCTCTTTTTCTAACGGAAATGCAGATGATTCTTTAGATAGAAATAACAAGGCTCCATTTTCAACAGTGGATAAAGACGTTTCCAAACAAAATTGCGCTCGTGACTTCAGGGCTTGGTGGTATCCTACAGATAATACCTGCGGTAACTCGAGCCTGAATGGTAGATACAAACAGAAAAACGCTCTAAAGTGGGAAATATGGGAAAGCCATGAACCTGACTTATCCGCAACAAAATCTGAGATGAAAATCAAACCAGTTTGCGTATGAACATAATTTTGTTTAACGTGTATTATTTGGTAGATAAGGTGACATTGAAATTTAATGACAATGGACGAGCTGATTCTTCTGGGCCCGAGCGCAGCGTTTGAAATTTTATTTATTGTGTTAGGGAACAGGCTAAAACCTTTATATTTTACGATCACTTCGATCGGTGTGTTTGTTATTGCCATTGAGAGGCGAGTCATTTTTAACATGTTGAAGCTTATCAAGTCGGAAAACCCCGAGATGCACTTCTACACTTGTCGAGTCTTCCAATATAAAGCATCACCATAGACTTTTTCATCATTCTGGTATTGTGCTATGAATAAAACACTAATGAGCACGTTTTACTTACATGCGTGTAATAGGTGAGACCGCACTGGTTAACAAGTTACCAAATAAAGCATTGGTTTCAAAGAGTTTATGAGCATGAGTATTTGAATATCACGTCCTACGGCAAGTTTCAAGTTTCAAGTTTCAAGTTGATCGTTGAATTCGTGACGCTATGTTACGGTGGCCCATAAGTGCACTCCAAATTCCAAACTAAACTCCCAATTCTAAACCTCACAGAGAATTCTTGAACCTCACTCCGAGTTCTTGAACCTCACTCCCAATTCTTGAACCTCACTTCCAATTCTTGAACCTCACTCCGAATTCTAAAAACTCACTCCGAATTCTTAAACTCACTCCGAATTCTTAAACTCACTCCGAATTCTAAAAACACACTCCGAATTCTGAAGTTTAAGAATTCGGAGTGAGTTTTAAGAATTCGGAGTGAAGTTTAAGAATTCGGAGTGAGTATTTAAAATTCGGATTGAGGTTTAAGAATTGGGAGTAAGGTTCAAGAATTCAGAGTGAAGTTTAAGAATTCGGTGAGGTTAAGAACGGGGAGTGAAGTTTGGAATTCGGAGTGCACTTGTGGGCCACCGTATTCTCTCGCTAAAAAAAAAAAATTCTCTTTTATTTTCTTGATAAAAAAATCAAATTTATGTTGCTTGGCTTGCTGATTCGCAAGTTAAACTTCCATATAGGGTCGGGCATGATTTTCGCCATTGTTTCCAGAAGAGGAACCGGAGCGAAGGCTCGAACGATATTTAAGGACCGACTTAGCATAGGAATGTTTCAGCATTGAGTCAGCAAGAATAAATACATCATAGGCTCGGCTCATCATCTTCCGTTGCATTGACAAGGACATAGTATCACATAAAAAGTTGATAACATGAGGCGTGCGGGGAAGAATTCAAGGAACTCAGACATTTTACGTAAAATCTTTGGCATCTAGACGCGAGACTGAGAAAAAATGATTAGAAGTCATCCTTACATTACGGGAAAAAAATACGCGAAAATGATTGTAAGGGAAGTAGTCTAAAGTGATTAAGTGTCAAATCCTAATATCATTGACCATTTATCTGTGCTTTAGGGGCTGAAGTCTAGAATGAAATAATTTTGCAGAATACAGGATGATGTCGCCCTTATCATGGTTGTTACTAAAGACTAAACGTTTTTCCCTTTATTTTCTTACTTTAGCTAATAATAATGTGGGATGTCTTTGAGGCAGACCCCGTAGGAATCCGGCTGGGTTTGTTTTTCATGGTAGTCACAAATTGCAAAATGGACCAGTGAGATTTCAAAGGGTGCCGTTGTTTACTTCAAGTCTCGGTAAAATCCACGCTTGACATACGAAGAGATCCTACATTTTTAATAAACCTTTTTTGGGCTTTTGTAGATATAACTCAGTCACTTTTTTGCAAGTGTTCGGTCAACTGTGAACATCACTCAGTCAGAGTCTGTCATAAGTAAACAGTACTGCGTAACTTTCCGTTATTGAAATATCACCTGGTTTGATATGGGGACTTACACGGTCACGAACTGTCATCTGTACGCACGTTTTTCATTCAGCCGTAAAAATAATTGGTACATATTTTATATTTGCTAAAATGTGGACACCACTCCAGTAACTAGTTTTATTACATGGCCGGATTAATCTGAGCCCTCTAATTGGTTATCACTCGGTCCATATTTGCCCTACGGACTGTTTCCAAGGAAACGGTCATAAGCCGTGAATTTTTGGTCATGAAAGTTAACAAACCACTTAAATCCAAAATTCTTTAGTGCGGCCCTCGCGCTCGGTTAGTAAGAAGTTACTCTTCCCTTATTCGGTTGGTAGTAGTCATGGTACATTGCCCGTTGTAAGAAATAATTAGCTTGGCTTTTCCGTCCGTTGTTTGCTCTTATTTAGTCGGTTGTAATCACAATACTCTGTCCGTTGTTAAATTAATTAGCGTGGTTACTCTGTCCGTTGTTCGCTCTAATTTGATTCTAATCACAACACTCTGTCCGTTGAAACAAATTATTAGCTTGGTTACTCTGCAGGTTGGTGAAGAAAGAGTGACGGTTGCTCTTATTCGGTCGGTTGTCAGAGTCAAGATACTCTGTAAGATGTAAAGGCAGTAACTCCACGCCTCTCTGGCTTTCGGAGGAGACTCATGGATATCGACTTGCTAATCTGTGAGAGGCAAAAAGTAACGAAAGAAGTAGACAAATAAATAAAACTCAGCGAAACTATCGGTAGAATTTAAAAGAGATACAAAGCATATGATATATAAAGCGAGAAAAATTGTTTTTTGTTATCATGCGTCACCATCTTTTTTAATTTTGTTTCAAGCTAATAGATTTTCACGGGCTCGAGCGTCAAATTTGTTCTTGACGAGCCATCTTCATATACAGTGGAAAGAGCTTTTAAAAATACCGGTACCTTCACAAGACGTCGATCCAATAAAAATGCTCCAATTGCAAATACAAATGCAGATACTACGAAAGCGATCACAGTCAGCTGTAAAATTGGCAAACCATTCCTTTTGGTCAGCGTACGTGAATCAGATCTAGGATCTGAAAAAGGATAAAAATCTTTGTTCACATAGTTATGTATTCTAAAAAATATTCTTTTGAGGGAGTTTAAAAGTCGCTTCAGGTAAATGAAAATCAAAGAAACGGTTTCTTTTAAAATAACTCTCCTTCCTTCCAAAGTACAGGAAGTTGCCTTTTTTTTTTAGGACAGGGACCAAAGTAAACCACGACGTGAATACTAAGGAGAACGAAGAGGAATAACTCATTTAAGGAGCAAAACTACGATTTTTGTGCGGGTTGAACGTTTCCTTGTAGCTCTTTTTAAATCACCGAGTTGAACGTCTTATCTCGAAATACTGCCCATGCCTGGCTAAAGGACCCTGATGGCGAGTCGTTAGGTTTTTTCAAGGACAAATGTACGCGCGTCTATGCAGGAAGTTTACTGAGGCCCTCATACACAATGAAGATGATTAAGCCAGACTCTGGTGGTGCCTAATACTGAAATGAAGCTACTTTGAATCAACAATGGCTGTCACGATTGCACCTATTGTTTCTGTAATTACTCTATTCTTTTTAGTCATGCATGTTTGGTTAAAACTTTTAAGATAGTGACCTCTGTGCCACCTAAAACCTAAATCCATCATTTAATTACCTAAATCATTCACATGTAAGTTGACCTCGATGGATGCCTTTTCTCCAGCTATATTACTTGCAACGCACTGATATTTGCCCCCATCTTCCTTCTTCACTTTTGCTATAAACAGTTGGTGGTGAATGGTTTGGTTTCGTCGAACTCGGGTGATCTTAGCCCTTAACCTGGATTGGACATCATATGAACCGTTGTGCTTCGTCCACCTTATATCGGACTGAGGGTGACCAGGGGGATGACCAGTGGTAATACAATTCAAAGTTAAATCAGAGCCGATAACGATACTTAGGTTCCACCGATCCTTGGCCCTTTGATTGGATTGTCCATAATACGGATCATTGTCCCTCACGCATGAGATGTTTTGCTTGAGACGATCTTTGGCGGTGTAGGTAAAATTTACCGTAAAATCGTCAATAGTGCTTTGGTTCTTTGGATCTCTCACACTTTGAACGGGCTGGGGGTCTGAGGAATAAAAATGATGCAATCAGCATACAGCCTTTGTTGCCACAAAGGCTGTATGTTCAAAAACATCTTTGAAAAAAAAAAAGAAGCAAGGAAGAAAAGCCTAGACTGGCCTAAGGGAATGAAAAGGCTGGAAACCTGCCTTCGCTATTCGGATTTTCAAGTGCACTTAGCAGGTGACAGATCAGCAGTTGTTTCTTCAATATGCTAAGGAGACTGTGACGTTCACAATTTGTGCATCTCATCATAATTTAATTTGCCTTCAAATCCTTTGCCTTCCCCTTCTTTTAGTTCTGTGACGTTGAAGAAAATTTTATGAGGAGGAAAATTATTTCAATACGTAAAAATAACTTTGATCCGCGTGTACCCTTCCTTTATGACCTCTTTTTTACAGGAAAAAAAGATAAAACTTTTAGGATGAATCATTATCATCTTTTGTAAAAAATAAATTATTTCCAAATGTAAATGCCTCTAACCTCTAGATTACACGAGTCGAGACGGGTTACAAGAGACGTTTCGAGTGTCTCACGAAAGTTCACCATTTTGAAAACCGTGAGGGGTTTGAGGAAAGGTTTACAGACTTTCACGAAACCGTTACATAGCGCTCACGGCCCTCCTAGAAGGAAGGCTCAAACTCCAACAACATAACATGATGGAATGCTAATAGGGTTGTTTTTCTTGTGTCCCTTTTTTCACTGGGCCAGTCATCACTCGAGCGTTCTTTTCTATTTTACATTCCTCTCATGTTGCATACCTCGCGGACGAATTTCGACTGATTTTCTTCTGCAATGTGCACGATAACCATTTCCTGCTTCACACGTGTAGCTACCGAGTTGCTCTTCCGTCAAATTTTTTAACATCAACGTACATATATGTTTTAACTCCATTTGTCTACCCTGTACACATCTGTGTCCAACTGGCTTGTCCTGTGGACCGTACCACTGAATATACTCGGTCCATCTATCGTAATACCCTGCATCAATGCTCCTGGGCTTTGCCATACAAGTCAGGTTAACAGCTGTACCTACAGATAGTTCTTGCCTTTGTGGACTTGTGGAAATCTGTACATCAGGTATTACTGGAGGAGGGGGGAAGATAAAACCATTCAGACATCCCATGGCACATAACAAAAATTGTCAGCGGCCATTCTTAACTCAAAAAGATGAAATACTTGTCCTAGCAAAACCAATAATACCTCTGCTACTTACTAGTCAGTTTAGAGTTGCAGTTCATGCCCGTGGCTCCAGGGAGATTTATCAAACCACTCATGACTATGAGGACCACCAGAAAAGCTTCGGAAGTGTCATCTCGCCACGAATTAAGTCCCATTATAACACGCTAACAAGTACCTGCGAGTCTTGCCTAAATGGCCTGAAATGAAGACTTTCTGCTTAATACAGGAAAATGTACTATTCTGACATGATTATGGTGAGCTTACTTGGTTATAGTGAGTTCACTATATTTACTCGGTGCTTCAAGAATGTTATGCCGGAAAATTGCAAAGGTTTTTTTTGATGTCTTTTTGGTCTATTTTCAAGTAATGGTTTTTCTGGTCGCTATTGTTGGACTCTTGGCAGCAAGTTCCCAAAAGTACAAGCTCAATTCATCGATTGTTTTTGATGCAGACTGTTAATAGTTATCTCTGAGTCAATCTTTAATTACATGTCTTAAGAATTAAGCTTCTAAAATTCATTAATTATTCATAAGGTGATCATCTAACCAAGTCACGCCAATTTCGTCACGTGCCTGTGGTTTGAAACCCCGGTGAAGTACTGGAATGACGCGCTATCCATGAGTTTCATATAATATCAAACCCTTGTGTTGGATAAAGCATCAAACACTGGTGAACGGATTTCTTAATTTGAATATTAATACTACAAACTTGCCGACAACATGTGAAAAATTTCCTTTCATTCCTGAGGCGCGATCGAGAAGCTATTTCAAAAAGTCGTGCAGAGGGTTTCATCAGGGTTTCCAAACACTTGAAACAATGAAAGCACGGGGCCTGCGGCCTCGTGCTTTCATCAGTTTTCTCGTAGCGGCAGAGAAGTTCTATATTTTTTGGTGCCTCTCGCCTATTGTGGTCAGTTCAGCTTTGCTCCCCAAAGGCTCACCAGAATTTAATTTAAGACCTAGACAAAACGGGGAGACAAATCTAGCGCTTCTATTATCAGTACTGCATACATTATGATAAATAGCCAGCTGACTAGGAAGTGATCCTCGATAAAGTTAATAAACTCAATGTTTTCCCGGACAAGTACTGACAGCCTTGTCAGTTTGTAATTAGCTTCGATGCCGATTTTTCTCAGAAATCTCGTTTTTACTTAAGAGAGGGGTATCAGTCGGCTATAAATATACTACATATGCCATTTCGAAAAATTTGGCATGCCTCCATTTTCATAGATTCTATGTTAGGTCTCATACTACAGACTAACAAACAAAATACGAACTTGACATATAACTGACGAGTCACTAATGCAAAAATAGAAACAACTTAGAGCTGGACTAGAGGGATTATTTTTGTCAGCTCTGTAATGTATTGGATTCATGGTTAGTGTGGAGAAGGCACTTACCTTGACTGTCCTTCGAATTCCGGGCATGTAATGTCGAAACAGCTTTGAAATAATGGTTTTATAATCCAACCTGCATAGCATAGCATTCTCGAAACGTAAGAGTGGAACTTTCCAGAACATTTTTGTTATTTTGTCATGTATTCCCGTGATGAAATAAGGACTTTGTCAGCACCTACTACACAGATTGTAACCCAATGCTCCTGTCGTGTTTATTACTTACAAATCGTAAGTTTTCTTTCACTCATTTGCACGTCAGACATTCTATGATTTCTATCTATTTTTGGTGAGGGATGACTATGTTAGACTGGTCACATATTTTTCTCTCATTTGATTATCGTCATTACGTTGGTGTTGGGAAATCTTGAATTTCCAACGACACCCACACTTGTCGAATAAAAGATTGCTAAAATTTACTGAAATGCTCTGAATCGACATCATCTCTATAGTTAAGTATTGACAAACAACGTTTTACAACGTTTTGGTTATTCCTGCTTTTAAAGATTACCCATTTTAAAGATTCCTGCTTTTAAAGATTCCCATTTTAAAGATTCGCGCTTCTAAGGATTCCCCGCTTTTAAAGATTCCCCATTTTAAAGATTCCTCATTGCCCATTGCCCATTGCCTATTCCCCCATTCCCCGTGCCTTGTTTAAAAGATAGCCGAGCTCCCTACTAACGAGAATATAGTTAAGTGCTGATCTAAATCAGGACGACTTTTACTACTTAATCACGTTGGGGCCGTGAAAAAATATATGACGGTTCACTTCTTTGGAAAAGGACAGCTTATGAGAGACTTGCCCACATGATCGAAAGGCATGCCAAAGACTATTTGTATGATCGCACTTAACTGGCCCTTATCTTATTTATTGATAGAAATCGACTGGATTCTTTATTGACCCTTAAGAAGACGCTGGGTTCAACCGAAAAGTTATGTGTCAAAATAATCAACCAAACATAACTAACATTTTTGTGCCTTAAGATACGTTCGGGTCTATACTAGAAAGAAATGAAAATATCGACATTACGTGGATCTCTAACATGGCACAGAACAGATTGAGGACCCCGATATCAAATCATCTTAGAGATTTATAATGATAATTAGTTGTTTGATATGATACGTGAAACAGATTTGAACTGATCTTGGCGACTCACGAGGGCACTTAAAATTAACTCGAGAAATTTCTTTTTACGATATCGTTTCGCAGTAGAATAACACAACCTTTGCTCTGGCATCCTCGGAATGCAATTACAGTTTATCATAGGTCCTGATAGCTGCACACGTGAGCGACAAATTCCCTTCACTTTGCACGCGTGAGTTAGAGTTCAGATAATTTCGCAAATGTTTTAATTTTTTCATGAGAAATTTTCAAATCTGAGGGAACTTATTCACACCTCATTTAAAACATTTAAAACATTTGTTTTAAAAGAGGCCTCCAAGAGACGGAAGTGTCTCGGTGGAGTGCCGTCCGCATTAAGCTTGCTTTTGGTCGAGGGTCGAGGATTCCGCTTCGAACACATTGCTCGAAATTATCAGAAAACAGCTTTCCTGTAATAAACTCTAGGTCTTTTTTTTTCCTCTAGTCTCTGTTGCCTGTACATGTTTTCGCTGCATACTTGTCATATTTTTGTTTATGACCGTGGCCTGTGTATGTAGTTCTCCGGGTATTCCCACGGACTCTCGCCAATGCTGAGCGTAAGATTTAGCAAATTAAATTTAGGAAGACACTTAAAAGTATTATTTTAGAAGCATGCAGACTCCATATATGCCGTTTTTAATACCTCCCAAAAAAACCAATAGTTTTAGTTCTGTAAACGACGGCTGACAGCCATCGAAACTCTCAACTGTAGGAAAGAAACCAAAGCCCCGTTCAAACGGTCATGATAGTTGATGACAGTTTCAACATCACTCGCGTTTGATTACAAACTATGAAGCACTATCATTGGCTATCATCAACTATCATGTAGTTGCTGCCAAAAGGCAGCTGCGTAGAACACCACTCGGTGGCGCCTCCATTTGTGTAGAAAACCAAAGAGAATTAACCCTATGAAAAGAAAGAGTGCGATGTTTTTATAAAACGAAACAGTAACACATTTTGCTAGAACAAGTCGACTTAAAAGACACACGTATGACTCAACAGAGGAGGATCGAAAACGGGAATCGGCGATATTTTCAATGACAATCATAGCTTAGTGTTTAGGTGCCAGTTTCGCATTCGCATGACAAAACAATAAAGAAACGCTACGGCCCACCGAAAAATTTTTGTCATAAAAATAGTCAGTCGAAAAACCTCTCAAAATAATTTGTATGATCCAGTGAAAACTTCATCAATCAATACCAGTTACTAATGCATCAACCTCTCACCCCTCCGTGCGTTCTAATCACCACCCCTCCGTTAGTAACAACAGTCTGCCTACCACCCCTCCCTGAGTTCTGATAGAATGCATTCCACCCCTTCCTAAGTACTAATGGTCTGCCTCCCCCCCCCCCCGATAAAATGGTCCGAAAATAGTCCAAAAAAAAGGTCCAAAATATGATCCAAAAAATGGTCTATAAAATAGTCCAAACAAAGAGTCCAGTGGTCCAAGTTACCCTATGCTCATTAGCCATAACGCTTGCATTCAAATGCTTTATGAAAGTTAATGATAGTCGACAAAATCACTTTATGAGATTGCGTTACTGTACACAAATATGGCGCGCTCTGAGGTAAGAAAAAAGATATGGCTCACTAACATCCGCTCGTTTAAATGGCTGAGACTATCATCATCTATCTAGCCTTTTTTAACGAGGCTAAAGAGACTTTTTACGGTGGCCATCTACATTATCAACTCGATTAATAAAACCAAATTATATTGTCATACATCCCCACCGACGCAGCACCACAGGTTCCTTAGAACTTTACCACCTTTATTCAACTAAGCTCAAGCAGACCTGCGAGCCAACAAATTTTGAACCTTAAATCGACTTAAGTTACATTAGCTTAGGTTTTATCATTTTAGAATAGCTTCCAAATCCTTTTAACCACCTTAACTGAATTTCAGACTTGAAAAAATTTTGTGAACTTCGGAAAATAATGGAAAGAAACTGTCTGATTAGAAGTAAATAAATTTTCTAACGTCAGACATCCAAGAACATCATAAAAAGACTCAAATCTGACGTAGGACCAACAGACAAGGTATTCTTAAGCTACTCGAATGACATCTCTTTCCTCGATTCATATCCCTTATTTTCGTCGGTGAAAATCTTCCCGGAGCCTACATAATGTTGTGAAGTTATTTGTCTTGGGACCAGATTGAGCCCTCACGTTACGTTTCCTTATTAGAGTGTTACGCCCAATTATCACCTCATATTCGGCGTGCCTTCGTAAAATAAGTGCTAAACACTAATGAAGGTACTTATTTATCCACGAAAAATTACAGTCTAGCTGATGTGGTCGTGTCTTAGTCAAGTCTAAGAGGTAAAAAAGTAATAGAAAATTACCGTCGGGATTGAAACTACAAATACATGATTAAATTAAAACAAGAAATTGATGATTGAATCTATCTACATCCAATACTAATAATACCCACATTTAAATACTAAATAATATACATGGAAAAATTACTCAGTTCTGATTGGTTAATATAAATGCAGTTTTCAGGTAATTCAATGCAGAAGAGGGTTAATTCAGTGCAAAGAAAGTAACAAACCAATAATCAGAGATACTCACTGATAGCTAATAAAATGCGAGCCTTGGATGACGCAACATTTGGCTACGATGGAAATTTACGAGCGAAACAATGGTCGGCGTTTTAAGTAGATTTTCTTTCGCCACTGCTGAAAAACAGCTTTAACAACGAAGACACTACAAAAAGCACTGCTTGCGCCTTATAGATGTGAAAAAAGCATTGTATGTTACTGTTTTCATCGTGCGCGGCTGTTTTGACCGAATGCACAGCCTTGAATAATTATTCTTACACTTGATGCGCGCGCTCTGCTTCTGCATAATCATGATAAGCTATCTCGTATTTTTTCATGTATATTATTAATACGTAATCACATGACTTTTCTCGTGAAGTTTGGAATAAATAAGCAAATGTTAATTTTTTCAAAGACCACAAATTGCACTCGCCCTACGGGCTCATGCAATTTTGTTAGTCCTTGAAAATATTTACTCGTGTTTATTTATTCAAAATTGCACTCGAAATCATTTGATTACCTACACTAGTTAAAATACTAATACTGTGGCCAGTGTGCATCGTCTATAATTCGTTCCATCAAAGTTCCATGTCACCCAAACGATTCCCCACTACACACAGCCGGAGCTTTTCGTCGACCCTTTCCGCGTTCTTTGCTCAGAGCGACAAGAGCTCTTCAGTATCCTGCGCAACTACGACTGTTGGGTATCTGCCATTGTTCATATGGACCCTAACGACGTTTCGCTGTCCCTCCGACTGACGTTTATCAAATGAGAAAAGACAAATTACCGATAAGGAACTTCAGAACAGTGTTAATGTATCGTTTTTCAGTGCCTTGGGATTTTTTTCAGTTCTTATAGGTATGCTCAACAAAAGGAAATATATTTCCAGTAAAATCGTTGCTTCCAAACCCAAATTTAAAATCATTACGGTTTAATTCCAAAAGCGTTCGTTTCCACCTGTCCACTCAAGAATTGGAACGTTTTAAAAACAATTGGGTCGTCAATTTCACTTTGAGGCCAGTTTGAAATTGGCCGTTTCATTCGCGTTTCCGAGTTTTTTAGTGTAGATGACGGGCAAAAGTGAGTCAAAACGAATACTTTGTCGAACTAAAACGCACTATGGATGCATCGTTAAAGAATTGAAGATAATGGAACCTGGACGCGAAGATTTTATTTTTTACGCTTGGAAATTTTTGCTACATTCATGTTTCCTAGATGAAAAAGAATAAGTAAACGTGAACGGAAAAACAAACAACCACACACAAAAAACCCTAAAAACCACAAATATTCACCTTTTTGCCACCTTTAAATCGCTTGTACCACAAAAGCCCCAAAATACTATTGATAAGCAAGGTTGCCACCACACAAGATGCAGCGATTGCTATCGCAATCTGAGTAGTTGAGCTTTCTTGTAGTCTTGTTTCTGTAATTTCTGTGAGATAAGATGAAAAATCAAACTAAAACTGAAAAGACTTTGATGGCTGACATCTTTCGTCGTACTGATTAAAAAAGGACCGTACGCAGTCCAATTAGGTTTGTGATCATACGAGTGACTAACCAAATTGGACGACCGTGAAATGCAAGTCCGATTTGCCAATCACGATTATGATTACTGACCGCACTGGATGAGATGACATCGTGTTATCAATATCACTTTGATAGTCAATTACAACGTGCATGCGTAAAGAATATCGAGGCAAGGTGATCACAAGAATGTATTTAAGTCTTGCTGACTCAGTCCCACCGTGTGAGCTGTAGGGAAAGAAGTTTGAAAATGTTAACTGACAGTGTTTTGAACGGGAGTTTATACGTTTTATTACACGCCCTTTATTTAAATTTTAGCGAGATCAATAAATATTTTTCGAAAGGAATATTCAAACTGTTCCTATAATTTCAAGAACTTGCCTTCCTTTGCGTGTAAAGAGGCCAATTTTGACTTTCCCTTTCCAGATGTTCGGCATTGATATGTACCTCCATCTTCGTTCGTCCTCTCGTTGATAAGCTTTATGCTTAGTATGCTATGGCATTTTGTGGCATCTGAAGTTGCAATGAACTTTACCATTGAATTAGTTTTTGAAACATTTGAATCATTGCTCTTGTTTGGCTTGGAATGACAAGTGGCAGTGAGGCTGAAAATTCCGTTGGAATCAACTGAATTATTTTGGGTTTTTGGGTCTTCCCGCTTTTCTGTAATTGAAACGAAAAAAATCACTATTAAAAGGTGAGAAGAAATGGATGTTTTGTTCAGAAAGGATCTGTAATAGTAGGGCAAGCAGAGCAAATGTGACGCTCTCTCCATTCGCGTTGACTCAAGAGGCATAACCTTAGTAGTAATCATAGTAACCAGAATAACCACAAAACATGTTTATTCTGGTGAAGCGACACTACGAGGGAAACTCAATAGAAAGGAGTAGTGTTGTAAAAAGTGGGAAATCCGAAACGTACGTGGGTTCAAAAGAATGATTTTACCGAAAAGGCAGAAAAAGGTTAACTGAATAGAAAATGAAAATCAGCGCACAGTCTTAGTATTTAGCTGTAATATATATAATGTCGATAACATTCCTTTTCGCGGTCAAACTTCTCGTCTCCGACACAAAAACTCCTTAGCCGATGAAGCTGCTTAAAGAGTAAGTCGCTAACTCCAGATCAGATATTAAAAGTGGTGTCTAATCTATGTCATAATAAGCGCAAGTAAAGTCGGAAAGTTGCTTAGCTAGGGGAGAGGATTTTCCAGCAGGGTTAAACTGACCTACTTAGGACCTATTATATCGTACAGAACGCTCTACTGTTGGTAAATAGTTCAAAGTTGTGAGGAGTCGTAAATGGAAAGTTTTTCTTCTCACCTTTCAGGCTTAAGAAGGCCGATAATGATACCTTTTTTCCAACGCTGTTAATTGCCACGCATTTATATCCGCCAAAATCTTCCTTCTTCACTTTCGTTATGGAGAGCTCACTGTGGATGCTTTTCTTATCCTTTGTACTTGAGTTGGATTGCAAGGTATGAAAATCATCGTTCTTGATCCATGAGATGCTTGGCTTTGGAAGACCAGTAGCATTGCAATCGAAAGTGACATTGGAATCTATGTAAACACTTTGATTCCTTGGAACCTCCAAAAAAACTGGTGCAGAACCTGGAGGAAAAGTGTGCACTTGTATAAATACAATCAACTCCCTCGTTAGAGGACACCCTCGGGAATTGGAAAAAGTGCCCGCTAATAGATTTGTCTGCCTCCGACAGCTTGCTTTCCCGCGGACGAAGCGTAAACAAAAAAATCACATTTTCAATTTCAAAAGTGTCTGCGTCCGTCTACGAGAAACTGGGAGACCAAAATAGGAATTAGAAAAAGTTTCCGTAAGTAGAAACATCCGCTTATAAGAGTGGCCGATGGCGGGAAATTGACTGTTTACACTTTTTTTCATCGAGATGTAAGGTTCATTGTGATTTGAGAGAGACCCAATGCACAATACCCACCTTTCCCAAACAACAGCGTAGGGTGTTTACCGTCACGCATTATTTAAGTAAAAAAAAACAAACAAATAAACAAAAAAAGGAACTAAAAAAGACAAATTAATAAACTAGTTATGATGAAAGTACTTACCTATTGCAAATGATTTCCTTGTGCAGTGTTTACTATAACGATTGCCCGCTTGGCAAATATAGTGGCCAAATTCGTCTTCTGTCAGATTTTTAAACACCAATGGGCAGCTGAATTTTCGTTTATATGCAAGTATGTTTGAAGGCTGCTGGCATTTTGCTCCAACTTCTGTGCCATTTGGGTTGTACCACTGAATATACTTGACCCATCTATCTATATAACCTGTATCTATAGCTCTCGGCTCCGCTTTACAAGTCAGAGTTATGGAGGCACCAACGGCTAAACTGACATTTTCTGGACTTGAAGAGATGTCGACAACGGGTCTTACTGTACAAGAGAGAAAACTAGTTGGTTAAAAAAATATTAATAAAATTTGGTTCTCTATCTCAATTCCAACCGAGGAGGACAAAGATGAGAAAAAAAAAGTTGAAAAGGATAGGCCATACTCTTCGTACCACGGGGTTTCACTACTTACTTCTGATTTTGGAATTGCACGTTTCGCTGCTGACAAACGGAGGATTCCATAAAGTGCCAGCAAGAGTCAATAGTAATATCCACTTTGTTGCTTCTCCCAGCCAAAAGTCACCCATCATCGTGAACTGTTGAGAAATGTCTCGAGGTGTATCCGGAGGCCTGCAAGTGGGATTGTCAATTGGAAAAAAGATATGAAATATTCACAAGGAGCAGGATTAGTTTAACAGGGTAGGAAAAGCCACCTTAAGAAAATGCTTTTCTAACTACATTTAAAAGTTTTTTTTTTTGACAGGACCTTACATAGAAATAAGGAAAATAACTCCTTTAAATTGTTCAATTGTTGAGATGAGGGCGAACAAGTAGGGGACGAACAAAAAATTTGACGAAACCCATTATTGTGGGGTGTCTATTTACTACGATGAGTTTTAACTCATTAATATGGTCTATCATAAAAATTTCTCTTTTTTCGTTACTTTCTATAATTTTCTGTGGTGCCACTTTTTCTTTTTTTTAAATTGACTGCACCAGATTCCAATAAAATCTCAACTTCCCTTGGTTTACCAGTTGCCTGATAGTTAAAAAGTGTTTAATCAAATGAATTCCACCATATCGGAGAACATGCAAAGGTTCTAGCTTTGGAAATAATTGCCAACAACAGTTCCACGCATTCTTCGTGTTTCTATGATATTATTTCTACAAACTCTCTCTCTTTCTTTCCCTTTAATTCTCGTATTCTACAAACTCTCTATCTCTTTTCCCTTTTATTCTCATATTCTAAAATACAGTGCCTCTCTGTGGCAACTTTCTGATTGTTTTCAATTTCGATTTGTTCCGAAAAACTGAGGAAAAGACGCAGAAGCTATAGCTATAGCTATAGGTACTACTTAAAGTGAAGTGAGGCTAGTTTGTGTAAATATTCATTTTAACGGAAATAAACCGTTACTAATTGCGTGGTCAAAAATGAGTGCATGCGAGCTCTAAAGTATGCAGTTTTCAGGCGGTCCTTGCATGAACTAAAATGCAACAGCAGGACATCTTTAGCTATAAATATATACATGTGGTCTTCCATTACCAAGATATAGTGATATTTTTGGTATCGTGTCCTTCCTGACGAAACCACGGGTTAATTACCAGTGGACGTGTTCGTCATTTTTAATTCATGCCAAACCCGGCCTAATGTAGTAAAGTGGGTCTTCAAATAAATCGTTTCATTTTTCTAGTATCTTCTGCTGTTTTGATATACCAACCAACCAAACTTCGCTAAAATTGTAAATGGCGCCATATTGAAATGAATGAAATCAACATTGCTATGACACAAGCAAAGCATTGTTTGAGTCGCAGCCGCACCTAGCTTTTTATGTTTGCTTTGACATCAATAGTTCCTTACCTTAGAAATCTTTTATAGGCCCTTGCTATTCCGCTTGGAAGATATTTTCGTAATACTGTCCTTTGCAATTTGGTGTAAAGGGGGCCGACCGGCTAACTCAATGAAGCCATTGAGCCGGAATGAGTTAAATAAAGTTACTTCTTGTCGTCATTTTCTACAGCGTGTCGCAGCCCAGTTACGTTTAGTCTACTTTGATCCTAATTTCGATTTCTTCGACGTCCCACACAAAAAGGGTCCCGTACAAAACGGCAGGTAACGCTAGGGATTTGCCGGATTTTAATTTTTCATAGGTTCCTGTCACTCTGCGTGACATATGATAATCTGTCACGTAACGAGATCAACAAACAATTCATTTTGCCTCACATATAAAAATCTAAACAAATATATTGCCATAATGAACCAAAACGATACAACAAAGAAATAGACTTTACAAAATTTCACAAATATAAATATATATATTCAGATATAACTGACCAAAACAGTTATTTGTGTACAACGCATTTATTTTTGTGATTATTCATCTCATTATGGCGTCATAGTAATTTAACCGAAATTCGGCTGGTGGTCATCTTTTGATAGTCAAAGGTCCCAAAGAAATGAAACCCAACCCCATTGTAAAGAACCATCTTTCAAGGCTTCCTGGTAGCGTTATTGTAAACTTTGAGACACTAACACAGGTATTTTTGCCAAGCTATTCTAGGCCACCTTTGCCTTAATTTCAAAAGGCCGAAGATGTCGTCTCCTAATAGGGACGTAGCTCCTCCAAGAATAACATGAGACAAAAACTATCACCTTGTATCGATAATACAAGTCCAACTCAATATTTCTATAACTAGAAAAGTCCTTCCGTTACATTTTTGTTAGCATGACAAGTGCCCGAAAAGTGCATAATTTCAGGGTCGCGCTTGGTGAAATTTGAGCTATTTACCCCCGGAAATGTTAAAACAAATTATTACCTTTAAAGTGCATATTTCAAGAATCTAACCCCATTTCCGTTTGTTCACCAGATAAGGCTACCCACAGGCAAAAAATGAACCAAATCGATTTTTGACATTTACTCTTAAGATGTTGGTTAAATTGTAAAATAAATGGCCGCTAAAGAAAAAATCTTATCAATTTTGACTAACTGCGTATCCAAGGAATTTAAAAGAAAGAAATAGTTTCTTTTAGCATTGCTTGATATAGAGTATATCCTCTTCCACCTTCCTTGGATCTTTATTTTAATCATAGTGTATTAAAAAAATGAGAGAAATGTCGGAAATTTGAGGTGGACGTGATGGTTATGGTAACACTTGTAAAGATATGTTTCTAAAAATTTCTAGTATGCACAGTCATGCTGACATACAAGAGATACAATAAGAGTACGTTAACTTTAAAATAAAAAAAAAATTAAAAAAATTGGCCGTCGTCCTTCACGTTCCCCAGATAACGCAAAGTTTGATCATTTCAAGTTGTTACAAAGGACGCAAAGAAATTTACAAAGGTTTATGCACGCGCGCTCATCAAACCTCTTGTTTAGTGACGTTCCCATTGCCGTTTCCGTTGTGGTTTCCTTAAACTCCCAGTTTTTAACCTCTTGCTGACGCACAACGGTAATGATAGGTGTCACGTAATATTAATTTTGGCGAAACCGGGGCCTAGAAAACAAGTCCATCATAGGCATTTGCTCCATGTTTATTTAAATCAAATAAACCTCAAATTTGCACTTTTTCTGAAATGCACTTGAATTTCGGTGCCAAATTATTTTCTCTCCCCCGTTGATGAAGGTTGTGGTCTTGGCCAAGCATTTGAATGAGTTATTTGGTACTTTTTAATCGTGCATTTTGCGGAATACAATTCAAAATGCTTTAATGACGAATTTCAATAAATAGAACTAACAGAGAGGTTTCTATGACATTTCTTAGTCTCCAGCATTGTATTAATTGAAACCAGGATTTATATTAGACCGTTCCCTACTTAAAGAGTATGAGATAATTTGCTGGGTACATTTACAACGATGAGATGACTTTTTTTCGAATGAGAACCCCGCCAACTGTTCATTGGTCATAACTTCCTTCGACTTTCCTATTTAATTTTTCTTTAAAGAATATTAGTTGGTAGGAAATGATATGTGGCTCTTTTCAGTTAAAAAAAAAACTAACCCTTTGATAGATTAAATCGTGGAAATTGCAAATTTACAACCGTCAGAAATTATTGGCAGTCCACATTTTTACATTATGCGTTGTAGCTCGATGTTATCAAATTTTCAGCTTCCATTTTCGAAATTCAAGTTCAGGAATCGATAAACTAAATCTTGTTCAGTTGGTGATGACATAAAATGAGAAATAAGTGATTTTCATGCGATTAAGAGCTGATTGTGTATAATTCTACAACTTTTAACTCACAATTTCAAACATAATATATTAATTTACTTTTTATCACCTTTTCCCTCTTTTGTCAAATAATGTATGCAAAATCGAGTAATTCGCATAATTCGTGTTTTTGTAATTCGTGTTGTATGTCCTTAACACCGCCTGCCTAGATTAGCTCGCTATTTGCAGGAGGTGATTATTGTACAAAGATTTTCCTGCAAACTTAATAAACTTGAAACTTGAAACTTGAATTTAAATTTAGGAGTTTTAAGTTCTTTTTCATCTTTTACATTTAAGATTTGAATAACTTTTATTTCCTGCGATATCCAGCAATACGATATAAATCGCAACCATCATAAGCCGTACTTCCCTCCTAAATAAGTTATCAAAACAAAGAGTGAGATGAAACCTTACTTTGGTGATGACTCGCTCCAAGAATACAGGGACTGATAAGTCAGACGGTTGCTGAATAATAGCGGACGGGCAGAGGGACTAGCCGAATCGATAGCTTAAACCTTTCCACCCCCAGAAGTGATTAAAATGAAACTGCTATCTTGATCTAGCACCAAGTTCTTATAACTAATTACTCTGGCCGGAAATGGCCAAAATAACTAGGATGACTGGCAGTTTTCCACTGGCGTAAAGCAACGAGATTGAGTTTTAGCTTCGAATGTATTCAGGCTTGAAGTGCTGGGCCGCGCATAACGATAACCAAGCTTGTTACAGTTTACACTTACCTTGCGAGAAAACTTAATGAAAAGCAATAACCGTGGGAACAGTTAAAGTTTAATGGCTGATTGATTTGATTCGATTCATTAATTCAATTATCTTATGCAAACATTGGCGATAGGCTTGATCAGTAGATTACTTTAGCGGACGAAAAAACCATACTTTTCTGACAAAATAAATTGTGAAAGTCACTGCCAAATAGCTAAAAAACTTAAAAGTTTCCATCTGGAATCCAATGCTGCTCACAAATGTAATGCCTAATTTTAAGGTATAGCGCCTTAGGAGAAAGAATCCACAAGCAGTCATGCGCAAAAATACCAGCTAAAAATATATATTACATTCTTCAATCTACTTCTTTCTCGGCGATACCGTGATGACTGCTTAAGATACTTGTTGTTTTTTAGACGTGATTTTTGACTATCACCATGCTGATACAATTTGGATATTTTGATCGCGATCCCGCTTACTTAATGCAGTTAGTACTGTGATAAGAATACATGAAAGTCATATATTTGTACTGCGGAAAATACATTTTAAGCAAATGAAGATCATCGCAGTATATACTCAACTTAAGCAGTTGAGAAATAAGGCCTGAAAAAAATTTTTTTCAGGCCTTATTTCTCAACTGCTTAAGTTGAGTATATACTGCGATGATCTTCATTTGCTTAAAATGTATTTTCCGCAGTACAAATATATGACTTTCATGTATTCTTATCACACCTTCTCCATCTACGGGTATATAACGAACTCACAATTGACCAGCTCCCAGTTGGCTTGATAGCTCAGTTGGTTAGAGCGCTGCACCGGTATCGCAGAGGTCATGGGTTCGATTCCCGTTCAGGCCTGAATTTTTTTCAGGCCTTATTTCTCAACTGCTTAAGTTGAGTATATACTGCGATGATCTTCATTTTCTTAAAAAGCAGTTAGTACTATTGTGCTATTTCTAAATATTTCTCCCCGAACATAAAGAGAAAGAAAAGTAACATCACAAGATAAATGTGTATTCTGGGGATCATAATTTTCCAACAATTGGAGAAAACTTGGCCCTGGTTAAACCAAAAATGAATGAATAATATTAAATCAACATGAAGATAATAACAAACAGCTATTGTCGACGATGACGTCTTTGAAACCCACAAGTTTACCATCTCCTCAAACGATCGCCGATCTAATCGCAATGATATGTGAAATGTTGGGTTTATCGATCTGTCTCTGACAATCCCATAATACTGAGCTGATTTAAAATTTTGACATTTTTCCGCACGTTATCAGTTGGCTCGTGTTCCCTAGATTTCACTGCCAGAAGGATTATTTGAGACTGAATAATCCAGACGGTCAATCAAAGGACGTCCTTTAAGGATTAACCAAAGATACACACCCCTGTCTGTCACAGCAAAACGGCCTCAAAAATCACCGATTTTTTTTTTATCTAAATCTGATTTTAGGACTTAACCCCGCTAAGCTGTGGAGAAATTTGAAGGCAAACTTTATTCCCACGGTCATGACGACTATCAGCAATGGTACTTACACTAATAGATCGTATGTCTAAGGTGCATTTTTCGTTCGCTATGACATCGGATGGCTTTGAAAATTCTGGATTTGCGTTTTAACTTACCAGAGAACAAAACTAAATGGGAAGTCTCTCTAACCCGCTGCAATATTCGCTTGGGACAATCTTATGGTGGAATACCAAATTCAATTCGCCGCTTAGCCACGTTAAAAAGTATTTTAACCGTGAAATATTGAACGATGTCCGTGCCGGAAAGATCTCAAAACAAGAACAAAGCTAAACAATAACTAAACGCAGTACTTCGTGCTTTCGTCGAGGCAAAGCGGAATCGCAAAATGAACATATTTTGTGGAACATTCACAATAACAGCAGAGTGTACTTTCTTGTTTATGCTCGAAATGCCTGGTACATTATGCGTAAGAAGCTGTTAAAAACTAAAATCTCCAGCCAATCATGAGAATTTCAATATATAAATATATACATATATAAATTGTTCATCATATTCAGCGCTATTTTTGGTATCATATGACTGCTTCATTAAAACCGCAAAAGTTAGACATAACTATGAAAAAGGAGGTCCACCTCACAGAGAAATGGCAAGAATGATACTGCAAATTGTCCATTTCTGTACGACTCAACGGTATGACTTATCTGTTCGGTGCGTACATCTGTTAGAGTTTACTGCTGAATACCGCTTTCCTAAACTTGTTGTTTTCTTATTATCATCATTGAAATATGCAGTAAAACCTTTGCGAAGTTACTGCGTTGTCCACCTATTCGTTGACCGTCAAGAAATGATTAACGACCATTGGTTCATAATCTATGCAATGCACGCGTATTTAGCTGGAAAACTTGTCACCTTACCACAGTTGAATCGTACTCCCATTTTTTCACCCACTTGATAACTTGAAGGCACTTGCAGCGAAAAAAAATTGTGCGGAGGTGAAACAAAGTCTTAGGAAATTTTGACAGCAGTTATTATGTTCTCCCTTTTAAAAAGTTTCATTTAATTTATCCTGTCAACACTTTTTTGATGAGAAAAGAAAAAGTATATATATTTAGTCAGTATTTTCAAATTTCAAAATTTTTGAAAACGGGTATGAATATATATACTTAGCACCACCTTTGCGTGGTGCCGTCGACGTCAATGAACGGAAATTATAAATATGTATATATATATATATATATATATATATATACATAAATATAGAAAAATCTGTCTAATAAATCAAATAACAAACAAAAACGCTCGAGTAAAATAAAAACTGTTTAGCATGATTTGTGATTTAATGATTGGTTCTGAGTCAGAAGGTTAGGAAGAGGAAAAAAGTATAAGAAGCGTCAAAGTAGAACTCCTCGGTAAAAAAAAGAATTCTTGTTGACCAGGTGATTACAGTTACTCGAGAAGAAAATTTCAACCTACTTTAAAGACGACCTGCAGGACTAACTTCAGAAAGACAGAGGTTGCCAATGGATAGGTCGGCTGATTCTCTCTAATCGCTTTGATGGTAGTGAGGAAGACGCTACCAACTACAACTCCTTTTATGTATATGTCAAATCCCATAAGTCCTCGTTGAAAAAATGGTCAATCTAATTTTAACCGTCTCCTGACGAATACATCCAATTTCTTTTGCAATCTCGAGTTTACAATTAGCGGAAAACTTACGTACTTTTGATAATTTTAATCAATTGTTTGGTTTAAAATCGGTAGCAATTTTGCATGCCTTAAAATGATTCAGATGCTGTAATTTGGCCTTTTTTCCTAAGTCCATGCAATGTAAGTTACATTTCGAATGTTTGGAAAGGGTAAACCGGTCATGACTTGATTTGGACAATTTTAGCCATCCTCATAGGAGAAGGTTAATCTTGCCATTATATTTTTGGCATCAGATCATATGCTTGGGTAAGCAAGGTCTAAGTATATAACATTCTGAAAGAAACATTTAATCATGATCAAAATTGGAAAGTTGAACTATCGACATTGTTGACAGGTGAACGAAGACGATGAAAAACGGCTCTAAAAAAGGACTGTCGCAGGGTGGAAAAAAAGACCATTCAACTCAGCTTTATGACAAAGCGCTTTCCAGAATTGAGGCCGAGTTCATATCTGTTCTCGCTAAGGATCGAATATTGGAATTGAGAGACAGAGGAAATTGGTTTAGTTTGGATTATCTTAAACTGATCAACCTAATTGCATCCTTCAGACAAAGATATCAAATTTTGCGGAAATCTGGCTGGAGTTTTAAATTAGCAGAAAAATTAAGCCGGCGACACACACAGGTGACCTTTCTTCATAATTACTGTTAGAGAAAATCTTGCTCGTTGAGAGTTATTTTGGCCTAGGGGGCCTTTTGGATAAGTTTCAATCAAATACAAAAGAATGCGTGTGATGATCAATGTGATGATCAATGAAAAGGACACTAAGTACTCAAGTTCTCATTAACTTCGGAAGGCTTTAATGTGATTTAAATTTTGGACGGTTCTAAGTTCTTCTAAAATTCTCTTCATTTCTCTCCTTGCGAAGTAGTAAAAATTGGATTTGAGAGAGAAACAGATCGCTGTGGCGATTCAATAGGAAGCGGCAGCGGCAGCGGGAATATTTAGACCAGGAATGGTTTCGCACAGTATAGCTTGATAAAAACTGGCACTTTTTACCTTAGCATGTAATGGGGTGCCAAACAGACAACATTCAGTTTTGACGTTGTGTGAAAATGAAAAAAAAACAATAAGTAAACGAATCAAAATAATATGGAGAAAAAAAGTTCGTCGGCGTGATCTCGTTCGAACTTCTTTGTGAGGACAATAGAATTCGCATATTCGCTTCGTTTGCCTGTATTTCACTCAGCTTCGCATGGTTTTCACCGTGCTCGCCCGGAGAACAACAATCTTAGAAAATTCCTTAAAAAAATGATCCCTTACCAATTGTGATTGGAAGGACTCACTTGAAATCGCTTTCAGTAACTGACTAAATGACTCTGTTTTTACACATCGACTTTCGAATTGGTACTGGTATGTACCAGACGCTGCTACTTTAATTCTCGCGCCACCAAATACGAGTCGATTTTTTATCAGACTTAAACTATAACCTTAGTGGTAGCCGCGGTAAATCAAATCCTTTTGGCTCTCAGAGTTGACCCCCTAAAGGGATATCATGGTGAAAAATTGTCGAAAATGATAAAGAAGTGAATACGACTTTTTGCGATCATTCGAGCTTGCTTATTCCCTAAGGAAACGACTATCTGCTGATTATGTAGTGAACGCCTGATATCGAAAGAATAGAGAGAAGTGAAACTA